ACAAGTTTTGATGTGACAAAATAAAAAAAAAATTAAAGTTATTGTTTGAATTAACAAAAAAAATGCGAATTTTATTTAAGAATTTTGAGTCTATTTTTTTGTCTAGTTTGAAAGTAAATGAAGTATCAAAAAAATAGGCGAAAACAAGTAGGTATAGAATTTTATTTGTATGAGAGTTAGACATTTAACTACAATTTTGCAAAATTTCCTTGTTAAAAGCAGAAATTTAACTCTCTGAATGAATGACTGCAGAATACTGAGCTGGTATTAAAACTCAAAATTTTGAATTTCCAAGAAAAAGATATTTTTATTTTTAAAATCTAAAAATCTAAATTTTAGATTTGTAGGAAACAAGTTTAAAAACCAGAATTTTATGTCTTTGAAAATCAAACATTTAAAGTTATTGCCACAATAAATTATTTAGAATTAAAAATTTCGATTTTCTTTAAAATTTAGAATTTAAAATAATTGTTTTGGTGTTGAAAAACTCTTTAGCAAGTAAAAATTTTGGGATAAACTTTGAATTTTTGGCATCAAATTAAGTAAAATTATTAATTATGTTGTGTTATTTTTGTTTGCTTTTACAGTTTTTTCTGTGTTGTTCTTTCTTCCATTTAATTTCAATCTGATGCGTTCTCAAAGCGTCTATAATTATCCGTCTCACAACACTTGTCACTTTCATATTTTTTGACTTTTTTCCGTCTTGTAATTATCTCACAAACAGATGTGTCCCACTTACCATTAATACCCTTCCAAATCCCTCACAAATTCCTCCCAAACCTTCAAAATTTCTCCTTTTTCTCCCCTCATTCCCCTCCAAACATCTCAATTGCAACTCGCCTCGAGAACTCTCTCACAACAATACACAATCAAACCATTTAAATATTGAATAACCGTCTGTCAAATCACACCGAAATTGAAATGTAGCCGCTATTGATCACGCATTTGCCTCAATGGATTTCATTAGCGTGGTGCGCCACAGCGACCCACCGGCGGCCCGTTTCTATCTCGACATTAATTGCTTTGATTAAAAACGAGCGTCCCGTCACGTCATAATTAATAAAATTATTTACGAGCGACGTAAAATCACTGTGCGCCAAATTTTCCTCGAAAAGATTGTGCGCGCCGCAGGGGTCCAATTAAGGCCCCATTCTGTCCGACCAGATGGCCTTTTGTGGGGTTAATTGGCGATTGTGAAATAAAACAAGTTGCTAAGTCGATTATTTGTTTATTTTTTCCGTTTTTGCTAAACTAGAAACCGAATTGTGTCAACCTAGACTAAGTCTGGGGTGATCCTCACTCTCTCCTCCAACAGCTTTAAATATTAAAATTAGGTCTAAGTATAATTTACACGTCATTTACAACTCTATATACAATCTCTTTGTACAAATACTATTTACAAAATACATTAAATGCAATCATTTAACGGTTAGTTTGTTTTTATCACTCTCGTAGTGACCCCCTTTCGAGATAACCCCCCGATAAAATAAATTAATTTGCTTTGTAATTCGAAATTTGTTTGCGTCCGATTACTTCATGGTTAATTTTAAAACGCTCCACTTATCAGCAACCACCAGAGTGATAAAGCGATCACAACACTAATTTGGCACAGAAATTCACTTAGAGCCCCCGGTTTAGGACATGTGGGGGCTGGGGGAGCGGATCGCGCCTTGCGGCGAGGC